CCTGGAGGGGCTACAGTGCCACAAAAGTGGGACAAAAATCCCAGAACATTTGTGGTATGAAAAGGTATAGGATTTCAGCAGGAAGTTATGGGCTGCACATTCATTGGAAACGAAGCACTATAACTGCCCCCCAAACATTTGCAGGTGCAAATAAGGCCCTGTGATTACTAAGACCCAGCATGCATTTCTCAAGAAGTCTTGCAAGATGAATCTCATTTATTTCTTTTTCTAATAGTGCTACAGGCTTGGTGGATCGGGGGAATGCTGTAAATGTAGCCTACCCAATGAGAAGATGCTCTCCCATCTTCTCACTGGGCCAGATGTGATAGAATTATAGAATTCCATCTTGTCAGATTCTGACATCTTCACCCTAAAGCAGGAAAGAGCAGATACACAGCTTGCAGCTCTCACTTGTTTTGCTAGCTGCTGAACTAGTTGCTGCTTGCCAGGATCGAAACACAGAAAGAGAAAGTTGAAACACTGCAGAAAAATAATATGCTGGATACAGAGCTATTAGCGCATTGCATTTGAACAAGGCACCACTCTGCGGCAAAGACTGGCGGTATCTGCCTGAGGAAACAGCAATCTGTCAGCAATATTTATTTATTTCAGCAAATATGAGGTTTTCCTCTCCACTTGAGGATGGTAGCATTGAAATGATGCTAGCATTGAAATGATGCTTAAAAAAATTAGGAACAAGAACATAAAAAACCAGATAAAGAACAGTAGATAAATACCAGAAATACTCTGCTGGAAATTATGTTAAGTTGTTCTGGCTTTGTTTTATTTCCAAGGTCTTCACTGAGGCATTTTTTGAAGTCACTTGTCATTCTCAGGATTGCTGAGATAAGAATTGCTGCTTCTGAAAAGAAGCACCAGCTGTGGGTTGTAAAGAAGTTAGGTCTCCCCTTCCCCATCTTCACATTTTACTTCTTCGTTTTGTGAGAGGACTTTAAGTGGAAGAGCATTCAAAGCCATTTTAGTTAGCCAAATAATCCAGCGCGAGCTGTTTGCTGCCTTCCTCAGCCTGGTGCCCTCCAGATGTTTTGGACAACTGTGGCACATCTGTGGGGCTGATGATGGTCCAAATACAGTGGTACCTCAGGTTACATACGCTTCACGTTACATACGCTTCAGGTTACAGAAATAGTGCTTCAGGTTAAGAACTTTGCTTCAGGATAAGAACAGAAATCGTGCTCCGGCAGCGCATTGGCAGCAGGAGGCCCCATTAGCTAAAGTGGTGCTTCAGGTTAAGAACAGTTTCAGGTTAAGAACGGACCTCTGGAACGAATTAAGTACTTAACCTGAGGTACCACTGTATACTGAAGGGACACCAGGTTAGAAAAAGGTGACCTATTACCTCATGAAGTGATTGGACCAACAACAAGCAGCGTCACACAAGTCCCCTGACTCTTTTTGGTGTTTCTAGGCCTAGGGTAAACTCACACTTTGGTTAGTGCTGAACCTCCATTGAAAAACAGTTTGCTGCCTTCCTGGGAACCTATATTTTCTCCCAATTTAAGAAACAGTGCTCTAAAGGCAGCCAATATGATGAAAGACTAAGAGAACTACATGTGTTTAAAAGATAAATATTGTACAATACAATTGCACACACCAATCAGGGATAAAGGTCAAGGGAGTCTTAGGATATGCTGTTTTATTTACACATATATACAGCCTGAGTGTAAGATGGAAGATCTGGAGCAGATCTTGCTTGCCTTATCAGGTTTCCAGGGAGGACACCAAAGTCATAGCATTATTTTCTGCACAGAAAGGCAAAACTCTCCGCCTCCAGCCTCAGCCCTCCTCACACAGATTTTCAGTAGAAGATAGGAAAAGCAGTAATGGATTGAATTGACATAAATGCTGACAGGGATGAAATATTAGGAATACACATAAAAATATATTGCAGCACTATAAAATTATATGTTAAAATGCTGCAGAATTGTTTTGATTATTTTCAGTAAAGAGGTACTAAGAGATGCGCTTCGTAAATGTGACTTAAAGCCTTCCTTTAGGATTAGGCTGACTAAATGATGTGCTATCTCTTCTGAATCCAAGACGATACAGTAAATCAAAATTTCATCTGTTTAGTGAATAATATAAGCCACAGCATACACATTTCCAGCTGCATAAAATAAAAAATGTAAAACCAGCAAATCACATTCAGAAATCAGTGGCCACACTTTCAAGTGACGAGTTGTATTTGCAAAACAGCCAACAAAGAACTTTCACCACAGACTTATCACCTCATATCACCTCAAGCACAGTCTCTCCAGCACAATACTTTTCAGGGGTTCTATTCATTTATTCAAAGAACAACCCCCCTTTTAAAATAAAAACCACTCTCTCCAGCCAGAAAAAGCTTCTGAGAGACAAATAATTAGTCTCTGGTTTTCTTTTTTTTAAAAAAAGTATGCATAACTGTGCATGTGAAGCCAGTCCACAACAACAAAGATGATTGTCTAAGTGCCTCTTGAATCCTCAGATGCTTTCACATTGCCAATCTCCTCAGTTGTTTGGCAGGTTGACGACTGTTGGGAAAAGGACGATAGCTGCCATAAATCTGAACACCCTTTCTTCTAAAAATAATGAGTAGTTTCAGTTCAAATACAGTGAGGTGTGTTGTGAAATTCAGGTCTCCCTGAAACTAGGGTCAAAATTATTCTAAAATTTCAGGGGGCATACATTTCATTGAACAATGGATCTTCCTTCTTTTCCTCCTTCCTTCCACCAATAGAACAAGGCAGAACTTCTCTTAAGAGATCAACAGCTAGGAGTTGCCATTTTTCACCCACAGAATGCCGTATCATTTCAGGGCATTTTGGAGGGGGATGCCATTGTCTGTGGAGGACACCCTTTTTGTCCCAGAATGCAATGCGTCCCCCTACCTTTTGGAATGATGATGGCTTCAGAGGATGGGAGAAGAAGGTGCCTAAGATGGTTCCTTCGCTGAGGTAGCAGAGCTGATTGTGAAGAACAGAAACCTCTCCCACAACAACCACCCTGTGAAAATACCTCAGCGCCTGTTCTAGCTGGAGCTTTCACGCGCGCGCGCACGCGCGCACGCACACAAACACACTGACAGGGCCATCTACCACCAACTGATAACTTGTTGTTTTTATATTGTTTATAGTACTATAATTTTCTCAATGTATTTCAATGTTACTTGTAAGTTGCCTTGGAAGGATTTGAATCCTGAAAGGATTCCCAGAACAGATTTAGGGGGATACGTGGGAAGAGGAGAGGGAGCGGAAGTCCCACTGTAGTCTCTGTGCTAGTGGAGCTATTTTGCTGCATACCACTCATGGCTACTTTAAACAGCCTTTCCTTGCTGTTGCATCACATCCCTGCAGCCCACAATGGTATCAAATTGTATTACTGACTCTTCTGAAAATGGAAACTCCCCTCTTTGTTCCTACATTTTAACTCCCATGTGTTTTACATAGCAGTATGACATTCAGCCAGAAAAAAACCTATAAATCCAAATGCTGAGGTCATAGTAGTAATTCCTTGAAGGAATGTATGAATAGATAGATGTTATAGATAGATGATGATAGATGATAGAGATAGATAGATAGATAGATAGATGATAGATAGATAGATGATAGATAGATAGATGATAGATATAGATAGATGATAAGATAGATAGATAGATAGATAGATGATAGATAGATAGATAGATAGATAGATAGATAGATAGATAGATACGATTAGATATAGATGGAACCTCTGAATATAGAAGGAATACTCTAAAAACCAAATTAAATGAAGATCCTGGAATACACCCATATCTGGGACATGGGCAATTTAATATATATGTCCCAGAGGTACCTTAAAAAAAAACACCACTAACCCTCTCTGGTTAGTTATTTCAAAGAAATTACAAGCAATGCAAAAGGACAACAGAAGTAGCAAGACACAATCATGGATGTCACAAGCTGTACATTAAAGGGCAAACAAGGTTTAACAAGCTGTACATTAAGGCCAAACAAAGTATAACAGCTCAATCAAGCTAGAAGAGAGAAAAAGCATTGCTGATTGTTGCATATATGTCTATAATTCATAGTAGGAGAGAGTCATTGCTAGGGTGATAATCAGGACAGGGAAACGGAAATAAAATGAAAACATCCTTTTCATTTGAGTGTTCATGTATATCACTAGAAAAATGACGCAGCTCGACTACATTCCACAGCAGCTTAGTAATGTGAGAAAATACCACAAAAGTCAGTTAGACTTTTAATCCTGCACCGTTCCTTGAAAACTTCATTTTATTTTTTTCTTTCTGTAAATTATTTTCAACCTTGTGCCGCAGAGCAAGCATTCTTAGAATGGTGCATGCATGGGAATTTATACAAAGTCATTGCTGAGATATTATGTTTTGAAACCAACAAGAAGCAATTTTGGGGAAGACAACATATGGTGCTACCATAGATAATAAAATTAAATGAAAAGAAATGCACAGTGAGATAATTACATAGGCAGTGGTATTGCTGAGAAAAGCCTGGGGTTTGTTTTGTGATCCACTAACTAAATATAAGCCAGCAGAGTGATTTTGTCGCAAAGGCAGGGCATATTGCTTTTCTGCTCTTACAAGCGGAAGATGTGGCGAGAACCAATAAACAACAAATTAACAAAAATCACTTGATATAAAGATGGCTTGTGACATATGGTACACTGGGTGGATTATGGTCATTTTCTACAGGATCATTATGAAATCCAAGGATGGCATTCAACTAAACCAGAACAGAGCCACTGAAATGAATGAATGTGACTAAGTTGTCTATTGATTTCAACACGTCTACCCAGAGTCAAACTTACCGTATTTTTTGCTCAATAAGACTCACTTTTTCCCTCCTAAAAAGTAAGGGGAAATGTGTGTGCGTCTTATGGAGCGAATGCAGCTGCGCAGCTATCCCAGAAGCCAGAACAGCAAGAGGGATTGCTGCTTTCACTGCGCAGCGATCCCTCTTGCTGTTCTGGCTTCTGAGATTCAGAATATATTTTTTTCTTGTTTTCCTCCTCCAAAAACTAGGTGCGTCTTGTGGTCTGGTGCGTCTTATAGAGTGAAAAATACGGTAGTTGAACAGCCCCACCTGATATTAATTCAATCATGCAGGCCTCAGCTGCTTTCCTAAATAAAACTGTGTTCCACACTAAAATCTAGAAAGAGATCAGAGGGCACCGCCATCTTATGAGTGCCTTCAAGCCAACCACATGATCCTGCCTTTTATCAGGCCCTCTGAATGGACTATCTGTGTATAGTCTGTTCAGGGGTGCAAGAAGCAAATCAGCATTAGCAACGTTGACTTGAAACTTTTTGAGGAAGATATTACCGTTCTTTTGTGGACCCTGTCAACATTTTGAGTTCTTTAAAACATTTCCAAAGCCCATTATAAGCAGGGATTGAACACACACACACACACACAGAGAGCGAGAGCGAGAGAGCGCCTATAGGCTTCTTGAAAGAGAAGGAATTCTGATGCTCACAGTGGATGCAATACATGCAACCGTTTCCCAGTATACACCCTATATTACCACTCTTTCCCCCTCTCACCACTACAAAGTGTTTCCCCTGACACTAAATGAGAAAGCGTGTATTAGCTGGAGGTTCCATGTGCATCCTATTGTATCATCTAGAAAAATCCAATTCACTTAGATCTCATTGTTTCTCACAGGATTTGGGTAAAAAGGCAGCCATAGATTTAGTCTACACTTAGTCAAATGTCCTTAATTTTGTGGGGCTACATTGGTATAGTATCAGGATGTTCCTCAACCAAGAACTATTAATTTCGTCTACAGATTTCAGTTCAGGACTTCACTTGCTTTGTTTTGCAAATGCTACCATTCAACGGCACCAACCATGAAGCTATACCTAATGCGCCAACATTGCAGTCCTGTGCTCAGGTTACATATGTCAGGCTCACTTGTTTCTGAGAGCTACATGTAAACGGTGCCCAGGACTGTATTCCAACCAAGGATCTGGGCAATTATTTTTTTACTGTTTTGAAGTACCAACTGCATTTACAGTCACACTGCATTTAATTTATACTTAATTGAGTCTGAGAACAAACAAACAAACAAATGTGAAGTTAATACTGTAGCTTTGTAGAAAAATATTTACACGCATTACTGTTTCCCTTCTTTTTCATTGAACATATATATTCCTATACTTTTTAATAGATTGACTTACAAACTTTATTTACATTGATGCAAAACCATCATATTTGCGTTGTTGTTTTTCAAAAAAGTTACCCTCATCTTGTTAGTTCATGGGTCACATGGTAACGAATGGCTAAAGTGCTAAAAGTGCTATTCTGGAAATCAATGGGACGCCAGTTTTTAAAATATACGCTTCAGGATGTAATGGGGATGGACCTAATGGACTGTGCTAAATCTGGAGATTTTCTGCACATGTCCAAACTGTTTGTCGGGCTTCTGTTGTTGGTGAAAGTAGTATGTCTTCTGCTGATGCTCTCGGAATCTTCTTTATTCAGCCTCTGCCCAGTTTTCTGACAGCACAGGAGGCTCCGTATGAAGTCGTGCAGGAGGTGCCCACTAAAGAACATGTAGATCCATGGGTTGCAGCAACTGTTCAAGCAGGCCAAAAGGGCAGTGACAGTAATTAAAATGTCTTCTGACTCTGTCAATACAAAGCAGAGAATTACTTAGCAAATATCTGTGCCATTAACCAACTACTTCTGTGATATATTTTTTTACAAAAAGCTTAATATTTTTATATTTAAATAATGACACCAGGCCGATGCATGGCCTTGTTTTATTCCTTCAAATGAAACAGAAAACTTCCATTTCATATTTCATACGCCATACCAAGACTAGTTGATTCAGTGGTTAACCATTTCATTAACAGAGAAAATCACTAAATAAGACCGGATATGAAGATGCTCACCATAGCAGAAGAATACACATTATGTTCCTCAACTGTAGCTCCTTGTTTATGCATTTATTCTGTTTCATAAGATATATCCTGCATAGATACTATAGGATTAGGATGCTCTGATTTATTGTAATAATTATTCTTACCATCAATGCAATTTAAATCCAGGGGTGGATCTACACACAGGGGGGGGAACCGATATAAATAAGTCAAAAATTAAATTGTTATAACTTAAGGGGGGGGGGAACGCTATGGAAAATCCTAAAGAAATTTTGTTTTGTTCTCCAGCACCATCTGGTGTTGCATTTTTATAATGCATTCAAAACGCTGTTTTTTGACTAATGTGGCCGAGTCCCAGGATTAACTTGCTAAAGCAGATTAGGCACTGCATAGCAATAAAAAGTATTAGACATGCTTAAAATAAAGGAATGTAAGATTATCTAGAATGGAACCCCTTCAAAATGGAAGGTGTGTGATCATGGTCTATCTCCTGCCAGGAAAGTATTAGTATAATGCCCCCCCCCATGCAAACGTGAGATGCTGGTTAACTACATCTAACGCTGCTGGCTGCTCATGATGTTGCAGAGGAAACCCAGCCTGCTTCACCAGTAAGGTGTTCCCAGTTGACCTTCAACACCAGTTCGGTCCCACAGGTTGGCAATGTTTTTACTAACGCAACCATTATGTCAGGGAACTGCCATTGGAGGAACTGGTGGCGGAAGGGCTCACGCAGGCTGGGAGAGACTCAGCAGCTGAAGAAGGAACCAGCAGGGGGAGAGGTGGGTCTCTGGTGGAGGGGCTCACGCAGGCTGGGAGAGACTCAGCAGCTGAAGAAGGAACCAGCAGGGGGAGAGGTGGGTCTCTGGTGGAGGGGCTCACGCAGGCTGGGAGAGACTCAGCAGCTGAAGAAGGAACCAGCAGGGGGAGAGGTGGGTCTCTGGTGGAGGGGCTCACGCAGGCTGGGAGAGACTCAGCAGCTGAAGCAGGAACCAGCAGGGGGAGAGGTGGATCTCTGAGGGAAAGCGAGCAGGAGGGAGGGCTCAGGGACACGTCCAGCGAGAACAGTGGGGAGGTATCTGAAGCTCCCATAGGGAGACCCACTCCTCGCCGGAAACTGTCACGCCGTGAGTCCAGAAGACGTGTTTCCGTTAAGGAGCTTTTATGCTGGAAACGATTCCGAAAGCAACCACTGTCGGAATCTGCAAGTGACTAGAGCAGTCATGTCTGAGGGGCTCTGTCACAGACAGAAGTTTGTGGGCTTGAACAAACTCTGAGGGACTACGATTTTACGCACAAGCAGCTCATCATCCCATCACACATTATTACACACCAGCCTGAAAACTTACTTGCTGGAACAGAGGCTGTGGTGCTTTGTTAAATGCCTCTTAAAATCTTGTTTGTACAGTATATTCTCTGTCTCTACTTAATCCAGACAGCTACTTGTAAACTCAATTCTGCTTTAGTTATACTCTGGTACAAACAACCTCAAACATTCTGCACAACTGTTCAGTGGACTGAACAGACAGCTCATTAATTCCTTGTAATGCCATCTCTAGGCTTAGGCTGTGGACATTAAGAGAAATTTTGTTCAAGGGTCATATTTTGTCCTCTTCTACAAATAACTAATCATGCACCTGTCCCCAAAGAGTGTGTCTGCCACTGTGACACAGATATAAACTTGGTAAAGACTTGGTGCAGAGTCAGTTAACTGGTGGGTCCCAACATTTTGAAAAGAACAGGGATATCCTCCTAGTCTCACTCTGCTATTATGGAGCCCACTCCAATTGCCCTACAGAGGCCAGGTGCAAAAGAGAACAGACTCCTGCACCTTTAATCAGTGGCGGAGGAAGCCACTCGGGCGCCTGGGACGGCGCACCCAGGGGCAGGGCAAGCCACCCATAGGGGCGGGGCGCACCATGGGGCCTCTGGAGTCTGCCTACCTCCTCCCACTCAGCCGCCCTACAGCTGGGGGGAGGCAGCAGGCAGAAAGTTTGGGCAGCGCGGAGCCTGCAAGCACCTAAGCCACTGCGTCTCTCCCAGGAGAGACGCAGTGACTTGGGCATGCTGCCTGGCATTTTTTCACACACACCCCAGTGGTGACGCCTGAGGCGGCCACACACCCCTTCCTCCGCCCCTGCCTTTAATAGCTGTGCAGAAGGGGGGGGGGGAATTTCAGCAGGTGTGGTTTGCCCGCAAGCTATTACCTACTGAAATTCCTCTTCTATCCAACTATTAAAGGCACAGGACTCCATCATCTTTTGTATCTTCCCAACACAAATTGCCTTCAGATAAAAGATAATTTCATGATACCGATAACAGATTTTGTGCATGTGCAATCATCATCCTTTCCTCACTGTGCATTTTCTTCTTATAATTTTTTATAAACTTGGTTCGCATTTATGCACCAGGAGTTCAGAATATATATCTGGTAGACCCATGAACTCCAGCATTTAATCAGTGTGGCTCCTATTAAAAAAATTCCAGTAATTCAGAAACCCCCAAATTAAGGAGAAATTCAGCAGTATAATATTTACACCTAGAGTAGCTGATGAGATGCCCTGCAGAGGTTCTCTGACTATATATCCCACCATCCCTGACCTTTGGACATACTGGCTGGAACTAATAGGAGCTGTAGTCCTAAAAACTTCAGGTCATTCTGTTGGCTAGCCTTGATATATGCAAATAATACAACCCCTTTGATCTCCCACCTAGATGCATTACATAAAAAAAATGTAACTTATTTTAGTGCTTGATCTCCTTAATGTTAATATGGGTGGGCATATCTGTGATGCAATTTTAATTTTACGGCAAGTCTTTTCTTTTATGATTTATTGGTTTTCATAAGATCTGGTTTTATGATGGATTTTTCTTGTTTACTGTATTGTCTTGGTACATTGCGATTATGCAAATGTTTTCTTAAGTGTCACTGCAGGTAAATGAGGTATAAATTCTCAAAATTAAAATCAATCTTGTGGTGTACTTTGTTATATAAAGTGTGTTCGGACGTAGCAACTGCCGTTTTAAAAGGGCGATATATTTTAGGAGCCAGCAGGACTAAGCAAGTGGTCTTATTTGATATGCATGAGTGCATTTCCTTCGTTTAATCTGGAAGCAAGTTTGTTCGTTATAATCAGGCTGCTTCTTCCCTCCCTGAAGCCACTAAAATTTCATTTGCCTCTGATTCTGTTGAAATGGTGTCAAGTAGGATACTTGACCTTCCTGTGATTTCAAATCAACCTTTATTAGGATAGGCAATGGAAACCTCTCAGAAAATCATCTTCAGTGGTTTTCTGACAAGCCCTGCCTCCAGCAGCCTCTCATCACCCTCACCCATTGTCCTGATATTGCACAAAAATAAAATTATGGAGCTCAGGCTGTTCAGGATCCCATATTACATATGGCAGAGGGCATATTGAACTGTTTGCAACAGCCTGAATCAAAGGACTTCAGATTATGGGTGGTGTTGTTGTTGCTTTTAAAAAGCTCTGCTTGGTACTGCTCAACCAAGAAGTGAGGAAAGAAAATTGCCAAAGGAAATCTGAAATCTGTACTCTTTTATGTTTTGAATTTCAGATGATCTGATTTAATAGTCATAAACACACACACACATCTATCTACCTGTCACACATACCTGTCACTGGATTTAAACATGCTGTGCTTACCTGTGCTGAAATATTCTATCTACTGCTTACACACTTACCGATCAATAGACATTTTGGGTTAATCTGGGGTTGCCATTACTGGGATTTCAAAGGTGGAATTTATGTCCAGGAGAATTTCCAAAAGGCATCGCTTTGTCCTGGATCTTAGGCAAGTCAATCGAAAAAAAGGTCAACAATTTTGGGGTGTTCTGGTTTTTTACTTTTTGAAATATGGCAGACCTAGGTTAATATGACTCATTGGGGCACTGCAATGTCCAATGAGCAGAAAGCAAAGTATTGTTCCCATAACTGCTATTTGTGTATGCAAGTATAGGTTTGCATGTATTGTTAACCTGAAACGAATATCAAAATAAGAGGTTGGTTAAAAAAAAATGCGGACGCGGGTGGCGCTGTGGGTAAAAGCCTCAGCGCCTAGGGCTTGCCGATTGAAAGGTCGGCGGTTCGAATCCCCGCGGCGGGGTACGCTCCCGTTGCTCGGTCCCAGCGCCTGCCAACCTAGCAGTTCGAAAGCACCCCCGGGTGCAAGTAGATAAATAGGGACCGCTTTCTAGCGGGAAGGTAAACAGCGTTTCCGTGTGCGGCTCTGGCTCGCCAGAGCAGCGATGTCACGCTGGCCACGTGACCCGGAAGTGTCTCCGGACAGCGCTGGCCCCCGGCCTCTTGAGTGAGATGGGCGCACAACCCTAGAGTCTGTCAAGACTGGCCCGTACGGGCAGGGGTACCTTTACCTTAAAAAAAAATACTCTTCTTTAAAAAAAATATTTTTATCGAGTTTTCGTTTTTCTACACTTCAAAATAAACATTTTGCAAGCTTGTAAAAAAAAGAAAAAACCTCTTCTTGGTCATGAGTGTCTCACACAATCTGACAAGTTAATTGCCTTATCGTGGTTCTAATGGATAAGGCTTCAATTTTATGTATTATTCTTTTCAATATGTATGCTATGGCAAACATGGCTTAGGAGAACCTTTCAGATCGCTTCTAGAGGTATGATTACAAATTCATCCATTATAACTGTTTGGTGCTATACTTTGATATTTAGCTTCTGCAAAAGGAAACAAAACTCTGCAGATACATTTTGAGTCCCTTGTGAAGTTAAGTGCAAAGTTTGGCTTGTGTTGTCTGTTGTTCATCAGACCAATTAACTGCAAACAACCCTAGCTATCACAGAGCCTTAAAAAAAATTAGAGAAAGCTGTGGGGCTTAGAGATCATGAACGTCTCAAATTATTATTTACATAATTATGTGATTTTAAATTTACATTGCAAGCAAGATTTCCCCCTGAATATTTTACGTTCTGTACTTTCCACTAGAACCGGACGTTATTTGTGTTTACTTCAGACTCTTTTAAACATTTTATTTTTTTTGTAATGTAGCAGACAAACCGTCATCAGCTCCTCACAGCTACACGAAAGAAAATAAAGGCAGGGAAGACCAAATCACATAACCAATGTTTTAAAGAACCTCTTCAAGCCTATGATTGATAGCGAAGTCCTGTGTGGAACAGTTGACTTGACACAGGTAAATGAATTGTTATAGCTATGTCAGGTCTTACAAATAGAATAAGCTCAATAATCACATGATACGATCTAATTAATCATCACTCAGCCATTAAGCTCACTAGACTGATTGTTCTCTGTAAGCCTAAACTACCTCATAGTGATTTGGGGGAGGGGGTCATAACCTGCAGTGAGCACCTTAGAATGATTTTTTAAAATAGTAATAATTTACTTTAGTGGACCTTCAGAGATGCCTTTAGAATAAATGTATTTGGTTTCATGCCTAAAGACGCAGGGTGCTTACTGAAATGACACCCATTATGAATTTTATTTACAATTACAGTATGAGAATGTGTCTTTTTGCTACTCTTTCAGTATATATGCCCCCTATTTGTATATACTACCACCAGGGGCTACCAAATCAATACAGATAGAGGCTGAATAGTACATCCATTTGGAAGGACGCGGGTGGCGCTGTGGGTAAAAGCCTCAGCGCCTAGGGCTTGCCGATCGAAAGGTCGGCGGTTCGAATCCCCGCGGCGGGGTGCGCTCCCGCTGCTCAGTCCCAGCGCCTGCCAACCTAGCAGTTCGAAAGCACCCCCGGGTGCAAGTAGATAAATAGGGACCGCTTACTAGCGGGAAGGTAAATGGCGTTTCCGTGTTCGGCTCTGGCTCGCCAGATGCAGCTTGTCACGCTGGCCACGTGACCCGGAAGTGTCTCTGGACAGCGCTGGCCCCTGGCCTCTTGAGTGAGATGGGCGCACAACCCCAGAGTCTGTCAAGACTGGCCCGTACGGGCAGGGGTACCTTTACCTTTTAGTACATCCATTTACACGAGAGTTTGCTCAAATTAACTTACTTCTGAGTAGAAATATATAACTTGTGCTGTCCGTAAAAGGGCGAGATTGCGTGTGAGCAAGTTAAATTCAACCTGTTGATACTGAAATATAGATTGCAATCCTGACTTTGAAATGCAGAAAGTTTATATTCCTTCCAACAACCCATTATTCTCCTTTCAGTTGCTAGAATACCAAACACTTCCAAATGAAAATTTGTACCAAGGCTTAGGTGAGGGACGGAGGGAGGGAGGGAGGCATTGTTGTGTCTTAGGCTGAAGCAAACATGTGCAGGGTTGCACTGCCGATAGGCATTTTACTCAAACCAGCATCTATAACCCAAATGCAAGGAGAAGGCAGAGGAGCTCAGTTCATGCAAGAACATTTCTGGCAGTACATCAGTGCCCTTGTCCACCACAGTCCAATGGTGAATTTTCAGTTTTAAATATTTGATATGTCTAGTCTAAACCCATTTCCTCCTTAGTAAGCCTGAAACTAACGTGGGAGATTAACATTACTGTGTTCTAAACATTAAGTTGCAATTCTAAGCATACTGCCTTAAGAAGTAAACTCCATTCAGAGAGCAGTCGGTCTTAAGTGGGCAACTTTAGATTGCATGTGTGCCTGAAATAAATTGCCCACTTGCTCTGGAGTGAGCTCCAGTGAAACATAGGCAGGACTGGGCCACACATTACTTCCAAATAATTGAAATACAGTATGTTGCCTTAGGCTTGGGGTGCAAAGTTGAGGAACGGGTTCAGAGCTTGCTGCCAAAGCAAAATTCAACTCTGATCGCTTAGCGAAAGCAACAGGTTGTGTGCGGAGAAGCCAGCAGCAGCGCTAGTAGAGTGGAAATCCGGAGTCACTCTGGATTCCTACTAGAGGAGGAAGACTCCCGGGGGAAGGATGGAGAGAGAGAGAGAGACTCAGCGCAGCAGGTAGTACCTACCATGCCAGTTGGAGTGGTCTTCCCAGACGGAGCGCATCTGGACGGTGAAGAACGGCGCCCAGCAGACGATGTAAGCCGAGACGATCACGAAGGTCATTTTGACGGTGCGGATCTTGGCGCGGGAGACGTTCTTGATGCTGCTGACACAGGGCGTGAGGAGCAGCCCCTTGCGCAGGGCGCCCCCTCGAGGAGGAGCCGCCTCCCGCCTCTGCCGCCGTCGGGTCTTGTCGCGGACGTTGCTCCAGATGTGGTAGCAGATGAAGCCGTAGCAGGTGACCAGGATGACGACGGGCGCCACGAAGATGCTGCCCGTGATCCAGGTGATGTAGGCGCGCGGCCCCCAGGGCATGACGAACTGCGCCCAGCAGTCGTAGACCTGCGAGCCGCTCTCCACCTCGCGCAGCGAGAAGATGAAGTACTGCGGCAGGCTGAGCACGAAGCTGAGCGCCCAGGCGGCCGCGATCATGCAGCGGGAGCGCTTGCTGGGCTGCTGCAGCGTCTTGAGCGGGTGGCACACGGCGATGTAGCGGTCGGCCGTCATCACCACCAGCATGTAAGCCGACGCGAACATGCCGAAGACCTGCAGGTGCTTGACCACGCGGCACAGCCCGTCGGGCCCGTGGAAGCGGTGCGTCACGTCCCAGCACAGCTGCGGCAGGATCTGGAAGAAAGCCACCGCCAGGTCGGCCAGGCTCAGGTGGCGGATGAAGAGGTGCATGCGCGACGTCTTCTGGCGAGGGGTCCGGTGCAGCGCCAGCAGCACGAAGGAGTTGCCCAGCACCGCCAAGGCGAACGTCAAGGCCAGCACGGCCACCTCCAGCTTGGCCAGCTCCTCGTCCCGCCCGTAGCGGTTGCTGCTGCTCCCGTTGGCGCCGCCGCCGCCGCCGGACCGGGGAGGCTCGGCGCTGCCGCCCGATTCCTCCGCCTCGCTCGCGTTCCAGGCGGACGACGGCGCTCCCCAGGCGGGGGAACCGCCGGCACCGTCTCCGAAGTGCATGGCGACGCTTCCCGCTCGCGCTCTCTCAGCTTTCCCGCCTTTCCGACGCGCTCCTTTCCCGCTCACTTTTTCCTTCTAGAGGCAGTCAGAGAGGAGCGGCGAGAGGGGTGGCGCCTCTCTCTCCAGCACCGTTGCCGTCGGTCAAGCGCGCCAAGTTGCCAGCCTCCTTCGCCTGCTCCTCGCGCTCTTTTCCCCCGAGTTCCCGCTCAGGACGCCTCGCTTGCAGACGCACCGCGCGCTTCTGCTTCCCCGCGCGCCGCTCTCCAAGCTTTTCCTCCGCGCTCCTCTGGAATTAGCCCTAACCCCGCCCCCTCGCTCTCCCTGCGCGCCCCCTTGCTCTCCCGTCGAAGGCAGCCCGTCCGTCGCTTTGGCGCCCAGCCCGGCCGTCTGGGACTCCCCTCTGGATCTCGCTCTGCGGACACAGGCCACGAACTCGTTCCGTTTGGCGCCGTCACACTGGGTGTTTGCTTCTTTTCAAACCCTTTTCTTTGTGTGTATACGATTATAGGAGCCCACCCCTAGGGGCTGCGGTCTTTTCGGGTCCCCCAAAACATTTGAGGGGGGCAGCCCCCCTCCCCAGTAGATGGCCATTCAACTAGTGTGCGTGCACGACGTCTTCTCCATTACGCAGGGCGGGGCTTATCTGCCCCCCCCCACCCCCGTCAATATTCCTAGTTGGCACCCCTCCTGTGAGCTCTGACAAAGGCAGCTCCCCCTCTTAAAACCTCGCTGTGTGTGCTCATCGCTCTAAATGTTGAAATGCCCCTTCCATTGAAAAGCACGTGAAAGTTGATGCGCAAGTTATTACTTGATGTTGCTACCACCCGCTGCTGAGAATGGATGTGGGGGATTTCCCCCCCCCCTCTCTTTCCTCATTAAGCAGGGCTGCTTCCTTTGGGTAGAAATGTTTCTATATCTTCTAACTGCAGGAACTCAGCTCCACTGCTTTACCTGTTGAACTTCATGCACCTATTAAAAACGTAGGAGCCCTGGCAGTGAGTGAAGGCTGGCAGCAGGGGTGCTAACTTGAATAAAATACTGATGGGACCCAGGTAAGCCCCACCCTATATAATTGATCACAAGACACGGTGCATACACAGCATTTGAATGCCAATGCCCATCAACTGGGGTGGGGTGGGGGTGCAAATATTTTATTGGGGGCCCGAAGGGACCTCAGCCCCTAGGAGTTGGCTCCTATGGCTGGCAATCTTAATGCTCCTCCTATCTTCCACTTAGATCCCAACTTTGTGCATCTCTTTCCACCAGCCTTTTTATAGTTTTTAGAACAGAGCTGTTTCCGTAGAAGTGATAGCAGGGTTCTTGTCAAGCTTTGAATTGAAGGGCGGGGGGGGGGGAGAGAATGTATATCTGAATATGCTGTATACACATTACCAGTTTAAAAACATAGCTAGAGCATCTTCTATATTTTTGCGACGTTGCGTTAAATAGTCTGTTTCATTTAAGCTGGAATCCCCTAAAACCACATTTGGCACATACTTGCACAGTGATTAACTGCATTCTCTGTCTTCAGATTACATCAAAAGTTGCATACAAATTAAAACAAAAACAATATAAAATCATAGTTCATGAAGCATCTTTTTTTTTTTTGCAGAGATGTAAATATTACACATGTATTGTCAGGGGGAATATTTTGCTTCTGACAAAATACACTGTAAAAATGCATTTAGGAAATGCCAACACTCTGGATTCACCATCCAGTACAGGTTTAGACATATCCACATTTGGCCACAGATAAATATAGAGCACAACAAGAACCACAGATGGTGAATTAAGTGCCCTGTTCATTTTAAACAGGTTGCATCCTCATTTTTGAATCCCTCTGGGTGTTAATATATTCATTTTCAAAACTCCATAGAGCCCGCTTTTAATGCAAGCAAGCTGTCTAAATGCACTGCAGAACATCTAATAAAATTCAGATTCAGTGCCTAATTTAGGAAGCTATTAGGACTTTGTATTTACTACAAAAATGGCTTCAGCAAAGGTATATTTTAAGTTTCCTCTAGATTGCCTATCCAGATTTTTTCCATACGCGTTCCAGAGCACATGAATGGCAGGACAATACTATGGATTGTAAAGAATTTATATGTTTTCCATTCCAATAGACTGCAAAAAGACCATATCCTTTTACTCTGTTACAGACTAGACCTTTCTTTCTCACAGGAAAAACTCTCTTGGGGTGCTGCTTCTGACCAAACATGATGGCCAAATTAGATGAAAGGAAAATTTAATAAAAAACAGAGTGTGGTGCAAGGGTGATTGAATCCTTTCTCCATCATTTCTTACCACCCCATTTTTAAGTGCCTCTTTGGTACTCTCCCAGCACATTTGTCCTGATGCAATTCACGCACATACACTGACACAGCACAGTCCTATACCTGACTATTAAAAAGTAAGTCCTGTTGGGATCAATGGGAAATACAACTACAGCCTTAAAGAGACAGGAGACCTGACCTGAGATCTCCAAAATCTCATAAAGTTTGACTTTGAGATTCAGTTTATGTAATTTGTACCCAATGTCTCTGTGTACAAAAATGCTGTTGACATGTTTGGCGCTTTTGAAAACAAAGGTCTTTTTGTTACATACATTAATTCATATAACTATGTGCTAATGCTGTTTTTAATACTTTCATGTGTAAGGCTATACATTCTAGTCTAGATTTAATTCTAGGAATGAGCAATTCTTTTTTTTTAATGTCTTAATATTCTATCTTGAGTTGGATCTACGTTTTTTGGGATTACCTTGGACCCAAAGTCCTCATTTTAGAAGCTTTATCCCCCCCCCTAAAACTGATAAATATCCATATTACCTCTAATGTGTATTATTCTAACTGAGATACATATTTTGGTCTGTTGGCTTTTGTGACCTCTTTTCATTAATACAGCAATTTAGACTGTTGCCTAATGATGAGATTACATATTAGAATCAGTTTAATTTAACAGAACACACAAAATCCATTATAAGACAAATAAGTCAGTTTCCAGACCATAAAGTCATTATTATATATCTATCACAATATAATGACAGTAATAGGGGTTCTAGAGAAAAAAATATATTTTGTATGGTTGTATTAAAGAAAAATTTGTTTCGGTAGGTTAGCTAACAATTTAATACTGTACATGTGTAGTCAGAAATAAGTAGGATACATTATGGAGGTTACTCAGATAAATTGATTTAGGATTGTAGCCTCGTTGATTAAATCATTGTGCATTTGTATAGGGGTAAAAATAATAGTTCTGAAGCACATACACCCACCCACAAAAGCCCACACCAACAACCAACCAGGAAGAAAAAAACTATGAACCCCAGGATTTTCTGATGATGCAATGGAAGCTTAAAAACAAGAATCACTGCCTTGAACTCAGAGATCAATATGTTCTAATTTCTCTTGGCACAATCCGTTGATACATGCTGACCTCCCATTTCTCCTGGCATCTGGCTTTGTGGTCTGCCAATATGCCCATAGACACACATGGGCAGAGAAGGTTGTAAAACCAGGACCCTATGGAATCCAATCATCATCTTTCATGCATCGGTACTGTTCTCCAGGGCAAATGGATTTTGCCCATTGTGAGGCATAAAGGCTAATAGCCTTAATTCATGCTTCAAGCTCCAAGCCTCAAGTATTATAGCATTCTGCAATGGATGCTCGCTGAGTTTCCTCTTGGGGAGCTAAATCAACGTTAATGAGTATCTTTTCAGAGATAATGACATATGTATTGACCCTGGTTGAACCTGGCTAGCTTACTTGAATTAATCCTAAAGATTCGAGATTTTGGAAAGTTTTGATCTAGATTCAATTAAGAAATTTAACAACATAATTTTGTTGAAGGTGCTTCTTTTTCAGATGAAGATGAATGGTAATTTTGGAACTGGCACATCAAGAGAAACTCCGAAGAGATCAGCCTTGCCCTTGCTCTACCAAATTCATCCCAGTTAGAGAGAGAGGCTATATGATCAATTATTAAGAGTGTCCTCAGTGGGCTCTACTGCAAACAGAGACCTGTCCTGGTAAGAGAGAATAACTTCTTTATTAGCAAGCAGAGAACATATATAAGAATTGGAGCACTTTCAATAAAGCTGTTTGCAGAAGTTGGATAGCTTTACTTCAGATTTATTATTACATGTTTGTCTTTGCATGGATCAGGCTGCAGTCACACAACAGTTTATTCCATTTGACTGGTGATTCCCTAACTGTTATTTTCCACAATACAGCACCAAACACTAAAAACTTCCCTGAAGTTTCCCCTTCAGAGGGGTTTTTTTTGTGACTGGATAGTAGCTGTCAAGTACCTCAGGGTCCAAGGACTTCTTTAGGAATGGCTGAACTACCATTTCCTTCTGAGTGCCAAGAACCCCTTTGTTGTTTAGTCATTTAGTCGTGTCCAACTCTTCGTGACCCCATGGACCAGAGCACACCAGGCACTCCTGTCTTCCACTTCCTCCCGCAGTTTGGTCAAACTCATGCTGGTAGCTTTGAGAACACTGTCCAACCATCTTGTCCTCTGTCGTCCCCTTCTCCTTGTGCCCTCAATCTTTCCCAACATCAGGGTCTTTTCTAGGGAGTCTTCTCTTCTCATGAGGTGTTGGAGTATTGAAGTATTGGAGCCTCAGCTTCAGGATCTGTCCTTCCAGTGACCACTCAGGGCTGATTTTCCTTCAGAATGGATAGGTTTGGTCTTCTTGCAGTCCATGGGACTCTCAAGAGTCTCCTCCAGCACCATAATTCAAAAGCATCAATTCTTCGGCAATCAGGCATCTTTATGGTCCAGCTCTCACTTTCATACATCACTACTGGGAAAACCATAGCTTTAACTATAAATATTCATTATCCACTTCCTGGACCCAATCCGGCCACTCCCCCTTGGCTAGCTTGAAGAAGCTGTAAAAGTCAGGAGAGCATGCTGTGGACTGAACCACTGAAAACCTAGTCCACATCCTTAGGCCTCATCAAGTGAAACCAATCTCACAAGTTAGGGCAAGATGTGTCGGAAACCTCACCTGGCTCCTTAGTAACAGAAGCATCCAACTCAACATGGAGATGAGTTGTTTTATCTTCAAATTGCCTGGCAAACTTGTTACAGCAGGTCTCCAGCACTATGTCCCAGACTGAGACACGTGTCAACACTTCTCTCAACCACATGGGATAGCTCTGCTTGCCAGATACTCAAGGATGTAATGGAGGCAGCAAAGTCAACGGATTTTGCTGCCTTCACCACCACACAACAGGCATGTCTATGTGCTGCAGATCATGTCTTATCAACTTCATAT